AATTTTTTAATTTTTATCAGTGTATATTATAATTCGATATATATTCGGCCACTGTTTAACAATGAATAAAAATTTACTGTTATCCATTCTCCTGTTCTTTTTGATTAAATCAAAATTAGATAAAGTTTCCAACCGTTCTCTACTTCTGCTTCTACTTCTACTTCTGCTAGCATCATGAGTAGTAAGGGAAATGGATTCTATAGGAGTTACATTTCTTGATCAGTGCGAAGAAGTGGTAGTGATATGTAAAGGCGAAATTACAATTATTGGCTGAGTTAGAGTGGTGGTGGTTAAAGTAGGTCAGGTCGAAGTAGTAGTGGATAGTAGAGTTGAAATGGTAGTAGATGGTTAGGTCAAAGTAGTAGTAGATGGTCGAGTCGAAGTAGTAGTGGATAGTAGAGTCGAAGTAGTAGTAGATAGTTGGGTCGAAGTAGTAGTAGATGGTCGAGTCGAAGTAGTAGTAGATAGTCAAGTTGAAGTAGTAGTGAATAGTCGAGTCGAAGTGGTAGTGGATAATTGGGTTGAAGTAGTAGAGGATGGTCGAGTCGAAGTGGTAGTGGATAGTTGGGTCAAAGTGGTAGTAGATAGTTGGGTCAAAGTGGTAGTAGATAGTTGGGTCGAAGTAGTAGTGGATGGTTGGGTCGAAGTGGTAATGGATGGTCGAGTCGAAGACAGTTGAGTTAAAGAAGTAGATTGGTTTGAGGGATATATTAATCAGGTTTTTTTGGTTCTAGCTATGCCAAAAATAGATTGAATTAAAAATTTTTTTTAAAAGAATTTTTGAGTAAACTTGAGAGAAGAAAGAAAAAAGAAGAGAGAAGAAAATTTTTTAAAAAAACTGTTTGAATTTGCCATATATTTATAAAAAAAAATTTTAAGTACCGATCATTTAAACTTATTTGAATTTGACTTCTTTAACTAGACTTCTCTTTCTTAGTTATTTATTCTCAATTTTTCAAATATGATTTTTGCTCTTATTTTCATATGGCCTTCTTAAATTATCTTGATATTTGCAACTCTTCCCATGTGTATTATTGCTCTGAATACTTGAGTTCTTGAAATATGTAATGGAATATCCCATATTGTTATTGCCTTTTCTTCTCTGCTTATGCTCGCTTTAGGTTCTTCTTGATTCAAATCTCTTTTCTTTGAGCCTTCTAGGCCTCTACTCTCTTCATTATAGTACCACTTTCTCTTTTCTTTTAGAATACTTCTCCCTCTATTCTCTTCATTTCTTTGATATCTTGTATTATTTTCTTTCTTTTCTGCTTCTCTAGTGATATTTTTTGCTTGTGCTTTTCCTTCTATCTTGTCTTCTTCATATACTATCTTTTCTTTTCCTTTGTTTTTAATCTGATTTATTTAGATCTTCACTTGTTCTTCTTTTAGTTCGCCTCTTTTTCTCTCAATCTCTTCTGGCTCTATCTTTACTTGCCTTTCTCTTTCTTCTTTGTTTGTATTCTGACTTTCTACTTTTCTTATTTCTTTTTGCTTATCATTATTCGTTTTATTTGCTTTCTTTAATAGTGCTTCCTCTAGAATTAGATTTAGTTGCTCGTACTCTTCTTTATTGCTCTCAAATTTAGCTTTCGCTTCTTCATAATCTCTTTTGCAATCGAAGTGTAAGATGCACTATAAATTTCCCTTTGCGAATCTTTTATTAATCTCTTTTAAGTGCTTAGTTCCTTTCAATAACACTTTTTTCTTTGCTCTGCGTTGTCATCTAATACATTAATTGCTACTACTTTTGCTTTATATGTGCCTTTTTCTTTATATGTATCTTTTTTAGGTGCCTATATGTTTTCATCAAGTGATAAGTTGCTATATTGTGCTTTGCAATATTCTTCGAGTTGATCAAACTTTTCCTTAACTATATCATTTCTTGGCTTAATTTCTAGGCTTTCATTAATTATTCTAATGTCTTCCATTTTTTCTTCTTTATTTTTATCATTCTCGTCTTGTTCTTCAGTTCTGCTTACTTTCATCTCTACTTCAACAACTGTATCTTCTTTTTGTTCGTGCTTCTCTATATTTGTTATTAGTTCTATTTGCATTTCTACTTCTGTGTTATTTGTGCTCTTTTCTTCTATAACTAACTCTTCTTGCTTATCTTTTTATGTCATTATTTCTTTTACCTTATCTAGGCCCTCTAGTGTAGCAATTCTTTTCATCACTTCTCTCCATTACCTTGCTACTGTGACTACTTCTTTATTAATTCTTATTGCTGATACAATTGCTTCATCGAAGAACTCCTCTATTTTTTCCGCTTCGCTGCTTCTCTCTTGAAATAACTCTCTTCCGTATTTTTCTATGAACCTCTTAGTCACTACCTTAGAATTTTCTTTGTTCTACATATTCAATTTACTTTGCTTCTAGCT